CTGTTGAACACAAAAGAAGATATTTTGAAGAATGTTGGTAACCAGGTAGTCATTGACTTCCATCATATGGAGAGAAAAAATGGCCACCAGCAACTCTTTGGTTACCAGCGGCTTTCTAAATATTTTGTGTTCAACAGAAGAAAGAAACTCATACAGGAACAGCATGAGGGTGAGTAGATGATGACAACATTTTCATTTTTGGGGGAACTATCCTTTTAAAGCCTGCTATACACTACTACATTTTTAAGACGATACCTTTACAGATTGCACTATCTGACCTTAAGAAGATAGACCAGACATATTGTGTGACATTTACCATCTTTCACGCCAGAATGTATGATAAATTGTAGCCAAGACATCTAGACTTGATTAAGCATTGAAATCGGTTGCATGCCGGTCGCATCATTCTGTATTCGCAATCTCAACTTTAAACTTCACATTCACAGTCCGAAACAGTGAACCATTTCAAGAATGAACAAAGTGGCACTGATGAATTTGAATGCAGGTGTTTCAAAAAACAGAAAATGACATCTTTATATCGTTTTACTCTATATGAAGCATAGACTTAATTCATGCCACAAAAAAACGGGAAGTCATTATGTACATTACTAACAAATATAGGCCTAATGTAATTTAATTAATTGTAAAGACCATTTAAAATTATATAATTAAAAACTTGAGATTTTCCCCCATGATAACAGGAAATTCTTTGGGATCTTTGGGCATAAGTCAGATGAAATGTTTCTTCAGAAACGGATAGAAATTCATACTGCTTGCATTTACAGAACAGGACCACATCCCGGTCATGAGAGGCCAGTGGTTCACGGATGGGACCTGGTTGCCGCTGGAGGAAGAGGACAGTGACCTCATTGAACTGGAGCATCTGGCCCGTTTCCGAGGCCAGCAGATGAAAGACACCTTTGACACGGAAGCGGTGGCCATCACGGTGGACAGCAAAGATGGTAACAAACCATGCTACGAATAGGACTCAGGGTTAGGAAGCTTTGTTATGGGGCTCAAGCACACAAAAAAAGGCCGACTTAACATTGACACTTTTAGTTCAGCCGATACAGAGGCACGATCATGAATGAACCACAACCCAACCCAGACATCCTGTTTGTCTCATATGACACACATTTGAACTAAGACTATATTATATGTATAATCGTCTTCTTAAATTCATTTTAAACCT